GAAAAGTGTCTATCTTGCATGCCCAAGTTTTTCTTGTGCTGTGATTTTTTTTTTTTTATTGTGTCTTTTGGTTTTTCCATCGCTAAACAGGCGTGGGAAGCTCCCTCAGAAAGCAGTTAATATACTTACTTCAAGGTGTTTTTGAAAAGACACTTGCAAGAGCCTGGATTTAAGATACATCTTGATGATAAAAGCCACAAGACATTACAAGAAAGACAAATAGCAGACACACACATAACATTAATTTTATATGGCAGGTAATGCTAATGTGCATATTTTAGTGCACAAGTCATAAGTGCACTAAACTGTAACTCTGAAAGTGTTTTAGAGTCCATGTCCTGATTTAAAGCTACAGACATGTTTTGTTTGAGGCTTTATGGTGTGGAAGAGAACCTGTTCTAGAGCTTCTGTAGCGCTAACAGGAAAAGACAGTTTGCCACACAATTTAATATTGCAACATGAAACATTGTCCCTCTAAAGAAAAAAAAAAGTAAAAATTAATATCAAATTAATTAAACTACACTTTTGGAAGTGTGTTAGGGGGAATTATAATTTGCTACAGTGAACTTAATTTCAAAAAATCTGTTTTCATTTACCCTTTAATTGATTATTTTCTTTTATAAAACAGTATGTGTGAACAGTGTGTTGTGAAAACTTCTTTGATTTTGAATATTTTAACAATTAGCAATAAATGAGTGGAATGATACATTTTTATTTTCTAGTCCTCTTTAGGAAATTCTTAGAATTAGTAGTACACTTGTACAGTTGATTTTTCCCACCAATTCTGATAACCAGGCACCAACAACTCCTTTTTTTTTCCTTTTTTTTTTTAAAGAAACTTTAATTGAATTAAAAAGGTGGAATGAAGCACTTGAGTTTAAGGAGTTTATTTGAGAGAGCTAATCTTTGTGTAATGTGGTGTACTTCAAGTCTTTAATAAAAATAGCCAGTAACATGAAGTGTAATTGAATGGATTTTAAATCCGTTTAAACTTGACCAAGATGGGGGCAAGGATTATGAGAACATGGTCTGAATCTTGACATTGTGTGAAAATTTGATGCAGCATTCAAGACAGTTGTAATTTGTTATCTGTAGCAGCACGTATCAAATATCTTGAAGATGCCCTTGCTATTAAATGTATTTAATAGGCTCAATTTATATAGATTATGTTTCTAAAGGTTTTGGCCTTGCTACTGTTTGACTTCAGCACATGCAGGCAATTAAACTAGATCAGTACTTTTGAGAGGATGCACTGGAAGCTTGTAACTTCTGGTAACTTCTGGTATAAGTGCATTAAAACGTGTACATATATTCCCTCTGACAGTTCTGCTCACCTGAGAGTAAACAGGATTTTGCAGGTGCAGTTAAATTATGAATGTTTAATATTGCTCCAGTGTGCGCATGCCTCCAAATTGTGGTATGTATAATGAAACCAAATTAATAGCTTGTTGGGGGCTGCTTGAACTAAAGTTAACGTAATTAACAATAAAAACTAACCTGATGATCTAAGAAAATACTATTACTGCCACACATTTAGTGTGGATTGCCTATGCTATCTGTAGTGTGTCACTTCTGGAATGACCTACATTCAAATTTCTTCATCTGATAAAACCGTGGGATTCATTACCGCGAGTAACAAAGGAATCTGACATGCGGCAGTACTGGTGTGATAAGTGGTGTGTGCCTGAAGCCTGACGCTTTCCTAGTGCTTCATTAAATAAGCAAATAATAAATTTATCTTTCTCTTAAAAGGAGGAGGGAGGAGCTATTAAAGTTTTGAATAATTAAATTATTCAAAGCAGAAGTTCAACCTGAATAAAGGATATTCACCACACACAGACTGGTTGGGCCTGGTTGCTTTTTTTTTTCTTTCTCCCTGTCAAATCCCCAGCCTTCCAACCTTGCATTCAAAAGGTTGTCTTTCTTGGAGGACTTCTAAGTTGCTTTCTGAGTAGGTTTTCCTGTAAAAGGATCATAAAGATTGGATTACGTAAGGCTTTAAAGCTTCTTGTAGCATCTTCAAGAAAGGAATTGAAACTCCCGTGGAAGTTAGAGACATTAAATAAACCTCCATTAGAAAGTCTTTTGTAGAGTAGAATCTCTTCTTTCAACACAGAGGAAAATGTCAGTGAGGTATGTCCTTAACAGTGCCCTGTCTACTCTGTGGCATCCCACAATTCAGGCTAAGCCAGGGATAATAGCTTCCTGGCCAATTCAGAGGTATGACTCAGGCAGGCCTATATGAAGCTGAATTCTTTCTGTTCTCTAGGGTTTAAAAAAAATCAGATAAACTTATTTAAATCTGGCTTTGTGTTTGACTTTTCTAAGCTATGCTAGATTTGCTCACCATGAGGCATGTTCTAGGGATGTCAGAAGGAAGGCTTTTGGAGGTTGTGCACAGTTTGTTGCTAAGCACAGGAACTTGTTCACTGTGATAGTGTTTTGTTGGCAATTTGAGGATCTTGCTATGTGGGAACGGTTCATTTAGTGGCTTCTGATAGATTTTAAAATTATCTTTACTGTTTTCCGTACTGTCATCTGGTAGCCTCCCAGAGGGTTGTTAGCATTTCTGTAGATAATTGCTCCTAGGATAAAGGCTCTTCAGACCTTTAGATATTTTGTGTGATCTAACAATGCTTAATTATTTTCACTTTGGAACTTGTGGTTTCTTGATTCTCTGTTATGTCCCATTACCTCATCCTTAAGAGTAAAAAGCTCTTGAAAAAAATCTTCTCTATCCCACTGAAAGCTACTGCTCTGATCTGTATCTGCTTTTCATGTCTCTGGTTTCATTTGTGCTTTTGGACTTGCGTGCCTTTGGTCAGATTAGGCCAGAGGATAATGGCTATAGAAAGTATCTTCTTCAGCCTTACCTTTGGGTAAGAGGGACTTCCCTGTTCCTAGCGTTCTCTACAAGCAAACCAGGATTTTCTAGTATTTGCAAAAGATGGTGGCAAGACATGTTTGGTAACTCTGAGAAGGCAAACCTTTTTAGGCAACTGAAGCTGCTTGAGCAAAAACCGACTTTGTGTATTTTAGAACTAGCCAAAGAAACCAGGTTTCCTGGGTCCTCTTAAAGTTTTATCTCATACATTTTGAGGCAGATGCTCCAGGATGCATTGTAAAACCTGTCTTGGAGTCTGTGGTCCTTTTGGTGGTGGACATAGTTCGGGTAAAAATAAACCATCTGCTTTTAAGGAAAAGGGAGGCTAGTCATGTTAATGAGAAATTAATCCATTTTAAAAGACCCAGCATAGTCACATAATAAACTTCATTGTGACTGATTTCACATTCCCTTCTAGAGTTTTTTTTTTTCTGTGCATATTTGTGGTATCTGAGCTCATTGCCAGTCTCTGGTATTGCAAATCTGTGTACATTGGATACCAGCTTAGATTTGGTAGATAATCACTGAGGCAAGATACACTGGAGTAGTCCCGTGGTCTCACTGCATGTTTTCCTAATGTGTACCAGATTAAGTTCAATCAGCCAGTGTAACATAACCTTTACTTTGAGTAAAATGAATAATTGCCACTAGAGGTTTGTGCTTGAGTAGGGGATGGATGATTGATAAATCACTGGGTAGCTTAAGAGTTTTACTACTTTATTTTTTTTTTAGGTACAGAGTGTTTTGAAACCCAGTCACCATAAGGATGGGCAGGAGCTTAATGCTTTGCTGAATGCCCCTCACATGCAGGTAAAACAAAATGGAACTTCTAATCTAATGGATGTCTTTCTTGGTGCTGTTTTCAGTATAACATTTTTTGCAAATGTTTTGGGCTGACTGGGCAAGGGTGGATTTTATTCTTCAACTCTGTGTTGATCCCTTATTTTTCTAGCATGAGGACTTTCCAATTTCCAGCAATTATGGGAACTTCTGAGTGTAGTGCCTGATTCTATTCAGCCCTTGCTACATTATACATGTATTACAGGGTAATTTGCACGTAAACCATGTAGCAGTAGATCAGTAGGGTCAGGGCAACACATGAGCTGCTTTGCTTATCTGTGTTTTTTTTCTTGGACAACTGTTTCATGCTTACCATATGGTGCATGAAGGGAATTTTGTCCTGCGGTGATGTTGTAAATCCATGAGTAGTTTTCACTGCACTAAGTTCTTATTTCTGAATCCTCAGTCACATACATAATAAACCAATGTCTGTTTTCTTAGGAAGGAGAAGCTGTAAGTACAGTCACAGTTCTGTGTTCAAAATTGCTTTTTTTATTCTTTTCCAAAATGAAAGGAAAGCTTGGGAAAGTGTGTAGCAGTAGATGCTACATAGTTGTGATAAATGTTTTTTTTTATTGCTTGAGTCAGTTTCCAATATTCTGTAACCTGCAAAGGCTATTCAAATTGCAGAATTTCATTCAACTCTACTATTTCATATACATATAAAGTGTGAAATTTTTGTAAATGAGATTATTTTCTTTAACACTAGGCACTTTTACTGGCTCATGATAAGGTTGCGGAACAAGAAATGCAACCAGAGCCTGTGACAGATGAAAAGATTTATGAAAATGTTGGCGTGTACGGAGGGGAGACAGTTAAAATAGTTCGCATTGAGAAAGCTCGGGACATTCCGTTGGTAAGTACTGGTACTCACTCAGTTATATGTAAAGGAGGTAAACTTTTTTGTCTTTTGCAGATTACTATGAAAGTTTGGGAATTTGAATGTGGACATGATGTTTAACTTGTAAACACTCTCTCTAAAACGAGAAAGAGTTGTACATGGTAAACTTGTGTGTATCTTCATGTAACCGTAGCCGTACTACCATTTAGAATCTATACAACTTTTGCCAACTTGGGTTTGCACAGAACTTCTTGATAGATGTCAGTGTCCCAGGCTTTCCTGCAGGGGAGCTTAAAGCCTTGTGCCAACCATGGTTGGGTTTTTTTTGTTGTTGTTTTTTAAGCAACTCTCATCTTCTATTTTCCATCTTTCAAATAAGTGTTTCCTTAGGAATAAGTTTTTTAACAAATCATTAATCTAATGGTGTGGAGCAATTAAATTCTTCAATCTTTAGTGCAACTTGAAGAAATTAAGCAGTGGTTTTTTAAACTGGAGCATTGGGTGTGTGGAGCCGAGCTATTACTTGCATTCTTTTTCAACATAGTTTCTCCACTGGCTTGGAATATATACAATAGATGGCTTTGAGTTTCATATATATAATAAATTCTGAATGTGTCGCTACTACACAGGGTGCTACTGTTCGCAATGAAATGGATTCTGTTATCATTAGTCGAATAGTGAAAGGAGGTGCTGCAGAGAAGAGTGGGCTGTTACATGAAGGGGACGAAGTTCTGGAGATTAATGGCATTGAGATTCGTGGAAAAGATGTTAATGAAGTTTTTGACTTGTTGGTGAGTTGGACACTACTTATTTTTCCTGCAAAAAATACTTCATAAGACTGAAACCTGTTGGCTCTGCTTGTTATTTGTACTCATATTTAGTATTAGTTTGAAAGTATTTTCATTCTGATAGCTAGTGCATATTTGTGGAGGTCCGTTTCAAGTTTTCTTTCTGATGTATGGTATGATAATGAATAACTGTAGTGGCAGTTATCTACAAAAATGAATCCCACAAATGTGGAAGAGTCAAGCTATCATCTTGAGACTTTTAATGGTTTCTAAGAAGAACTTTGTTTAGCTCTGAAAAGCCATAATTTTTCAGCTTTTTGTCTGATGAGTCTGCAATGAATAAATGTGTGGTTGTGTGATTGTGGTAGTGCCTGGCTGGGATGGAGGTAATTTTCTTCATAGCAGCTTATATGGTGCTGTGTTTTAGGGCTGGTTTTAGACTGAAACAGTGTTGGTAACACACCAGTGTTTTGGCTGTTGCTGAACAGTGCTTGCAGAGTGTCAAGGCCTTCTCTGTTTGTCACTCTGTCCCCTGCCCACAAGTAGGCTGGGGGTGAGCGAGAGGTTGGGAGGGGACACTCCTGGCACAGCTGACCTTGATTAACCACAGCTGACCATGATTAACTGTGGTTAATCATGCCCTATAACATGCTGAGCAATAAAAACTTGGTGGTGAGTGATTGCCTTTGCCTTGCTTGTTGGGTTGGGGTTTTTTCCCTTCACTTACTAAACTGTCTTTATGTCAACCCATGAGTTTTTCTTGTTTTTTGGTCTTCTGATTCTCTCCCCCATCCTGCTGGGGAAGGAAAGTGAGTGAGAAGGCAGTGGGTACTTACGCTGGCCAGACTTAACCCACCACAAACTGTATCACACAGTGCCTTTACATGACTAGACTGCTTGTTCTGTCCCTCCTAATAAAAACCCTTTTATCTGTCAGTTTACCAGCACAGACATTTTTCTATTTATTACACTTTTAACATTCATGCCAAAATTATACAGCAGTTCAAAAGCAGCTGGTCAAAACAACAGAGGCAAGAAATCTGTCAGGAACTAATAAATGCAGAGGTACTCTCAAAGGCCCTGTGGGGTAGACTGTCAAAAGCTCCGAATTGCCAGTATTTTTCCGTTGCCCAATATTGCTCTTCTCTCATGCTTCTCCCTGGCACCTGCTGTTGATCAGTGTCCAAGATTGGACACCTGGAACCTGGCTATGAATCTTTGGTCTGATTGCAAGACCAAAAGGCAAGACCATTCTCTCAAAGTGAAAACAGTTTAAAATTACAGGTTTTTAAAGTTGATTTATATCTTTTATACAAAACGTTGGAAATGTCCACTAGCATTTATTTAATAGGGTCTTTGGGGAAAAAATGAGAAATGTATTTAGTAAATCTTTGAATTACTTTGGTAGATCTGTGCTCCATAGACGAATCAAAATCAGGACAAAGACCTGGGTTCTGCTGTAGGTTGTATTATTGTAGGAAGAATAGGTGGCAATATCCATAGATGAAGTTGTCTCATGCTACACTAAGACTGTAGTTTTTAATGGACAATTCCCATCTTTAGTTGGACTTTTTGCTGAAATTTGCTGTTAAAATTTTTCAGCTAATGCATGGAATGAGGTCAAGTATGGAGGCAAGTAGAGGCAGAAATGTGTAGGGTTCTGGAGTTTTTTTAAGCCATTTAAAAATATTCTTTTAGTTATTTGAAAAGCCTTCAATCTAGGTGTGGTTTTTGGATCAGAGATCTCTGAGATTCTTCACGCTCCTTCATTGTCTCCATTGCCATCGGTATTTTGTTTTAGAAGTCATATTTAGCTAATTCCTGTGCTTCTGAAAAGAGTGTTTTGTAGATGCTTGATAGATAATTCAACTCTGACAGTTTTGTTCTCTGCAGAGAGCTTGTTCTGCTCTTGAGCAGCTCCTGCAACCTAGAGTTACAGAATAAAAGATTTAAAACCACAATACATTAACATAAGAGCAAATTACTTGCTGGAAATTGAAGAACTTACATGTTTTTTAATATATTTTAAAATAATTAATTTAAAATCATATTTTCAATTCTTCATATGTTGTCTTTTGTATGTTGTGATGTGGAAGTGAAGTTTTCAAATGCTTCAGCCTCCAAAAAATATTTAAAAGAAACACAGGAGAAGAAAATTACTTTCCTTAATTTTGCCTCACCACTTGCTACACAAATGATAATAAACTGAACATGACTTTAGATGAGACTATTCACATGGTCACTGTGAAATTCTATGCATTTCTCGTGGAACTATGCATGCTGACAGAAGATTGTGGACTTTCCTTTCCTGCAGCCTAATCATGTTATGCTCAGTTATGTTTACTTTATTTAAGCTTTAGGTCTGAATTTTTTGAGATACATGCATATGCTTTGGTTTTATGCAACATAAATTTTGTTACAGTTCATGGAATGATGGACAGAGACACATGTAGACCTTGTCACAGATTGGCACGTGCATTTTGTCTAGATACTTGTTATGTGTGCAAATACGCTCTGCATACAAGAGTATGCAAACAAATAATATTTCTTTAAAGCCAGGACATTTATTATGTTCTACTTTCTTAGTGGGGGTGATTGTAATATTGATGTTAAATACTTTACAGATGCAGGATTTGAGTGTATTACTGAAACTTTTAAACAGTGATTTGTATACTTTAACAGCATAAAATCATAGCAGAAATGTTTAGATTTGAAAACACTGTTCCATTCAAATGATTTTAGAAAAATAATTATATTTTATATTTTTTTTCTTCCCAGCATAGATCCTACTTGTTGTATTTTTGAACAGAACGAGAGAATATTATTCTCCATTTCTCCTAAGTCTCTGCTTGACAGAGTTGCAGCTGCTCCATTTCAAATAGAAATATTTTATGTATAATCAAGAATGCAAGGCTTTTAAAATCTGAATGTCAACATTTTGGCTTTCTAGCCTGTCACTGAATCGCTGCATCTGTATCTGTACTGTATCTTTTAAACCAGTTAAGGGGTAGATGATGTGCTGTTAGGAACTGCCTTTTATGGGAATTTTTGAAGCATTTTCTGAAATATGTTATTTATTAAAATTCTTAAATCTAAGCCATATTTTGGTACTGTATATGAAGAGTCTGTTTTTCATCTCAGGCTGACATGCATGGTACTCTGACCTTTGTATTGATTCCAAGTCAGCAGAGCAAGCCACCTCCTGCGAAGGAGACAGTTGTAAGTAACTCTACATTAGTTCTTGAGCTTGGTGATACATACCTTGCTTTTCCAGTAATGCATAGAAAATTCTTCTGTAGGACATTTTCATTGTGGAACAAAACCAAAACTTAATTACTTAAATTGGTTTAATTGTTACCAGACAGACACCTGAATTAACTATTGAAAATGATTTATGGTGTTAAGCTGAAACTCTTAGTATGATTTTAACTCAGTTTCTAAAGTAGTAAGAAATCATAAAGGTAGAACTGCCTGTGCTTCTGAAATTCTATTTTGAAATTCCCAATTTCTCTATTTTTATATATATGTATATTTTATATACATATATTTTATGCAAATTGGATTGATGAAACTTGCAAATACACTTTGGGAGGAAAAAATTGTATATTGGAAACTTTGTTCATTATCTTTTTAGCTAACATATTTTTCTTGAGACAGCTTTAACAGTTTGAAGAATGAATGCACTGACTTATATCACAGCCGAACAAAAGCATTAATGGTTGGTGACAAAGTTAAATATTTCACAAGTGAAACTTCATCTGAAGCCCAGCAAATGGGTTGCAATCTGTGTGTGTATTAGGTATTTAAAACAAATTGGAACACCTCTGATACTTTTTGAATGCAGGGAACTTAAATCAGCAGCGCATTGGTTTTTTCCTCTTAAAATGCTGAGGAAAGTGCATAGACTTTAGAATTAACAATTCAGGCCCTAACTCCCAACCTAGCACAACTGTCTTTTCCATTGCTAATGTAGGTAATTATTCCATCCCGGTATCTCCGGTGTATGCCCCAGATAAAGTTTCTATTTCATAGAATCTTGGAGTTTTTATATATCAGTGCTCCACTGCAATCACAGGAAGATGAGATGTAATTCTTTGGAAGTCACAGGGGTTTTTTCCTTCTGTTTTTATGTTTGATCTTCCACAGATACACGTGAAAGCACATTTTGACTATGATCCCTCTGATGACCCTTATGTCCCCTGCCGAGAGCTAGGCCTCTCTTTTCAAAAAGGAGATATACTCCATGTGATCAGCCAAGAAGATCCAAACTGGTGGCAGGCTTACAGAGATGGAGATGAAGATAATCAGCCATTGGCAGGCCTTATCCCTGGTAAATAAAACTCTAGAAAAAGCTTGAAAGCCAGTTGTTCCCATAGCTACAGGAGCAATATTCTGTTTTTCAAAGACTGATATACCCCTAAATAGCCGTTACCTTAAATATCTGTGACTTTGAACCTTTTGTAACAGAGCCTACTGTTGGTTATGTAATTCACTTAGAAGGTTGACCTTCTAGAGACATCTCCATGTGTAGCTTTACTCTACATTCTACTCTCTTCCTTTTTTCCTCCACCTGGGGATTCTGTGGATTCAGAGTTCCCTCTGCTGGCTACAGCAGAAATGTGGGACTCTGCCTGCGTGTCCTCTGGAGACAAGAGCAGCTGTTAGGTTTCTTACTATATCAAGTCGTCTAGTTGAAAAATGTTTATTTTTCATGGTAACTTTTCTGCATGTTTTCACTTAGCAAAGAGGTTCAGTTACTTGTAACACTCATTGTTCCTTTCTAACTGGTGGGGGTCTTTGAGTAATAGGGCTTTTTTTTGGACATTGAAGTCACTGTGTAATTTTTGCATTGAAATACTGCACTCTAGTCCGTTAAAAATCTGATGGTCTGTTAAACACAGTGAACAAAAGACTTTTCAAATCCATAGAATATTACACTGTTACTTTATGACCTTGGAGTAAGTTGAGAGAACACTGATTTAATTATAGGTTAATCTTGTTCAAGCTGAATTTCAAAAGATTTAGTATAAATAGAACACATTTAACATAGAAAAATAATTAGAAAGCCATATCAGCACAGTGGGGAAATGTAGTCTTTCCAGTAGTTTCAGTTTCCCAGGCAAAACTGTCCAGAATGGTACAAATGCTCTGCAAGTCTTTCTTCATGAATATATCTTCACAGCAATAAACAAGCTTTGCAATAGTTTTAGTTTCTCTTTATAAATTGTTATTTCACTTTTTAAATGTATCTTATGTCATGTTGTACTAGAACCTTCAGAGATGTAAAAACTTAGGAAAAAGTAAAATCATTAAATCATGACAAAAAAAGTATGGAAATAGTTTCTAAATGTTAACTGCTTTTGTACTTTATTTTTAAACTGCATTAAGGAAAAAGTTTCCAGCAACAAAGAGAAGCAATGAAGCAAACCATAGAAGAAGACAAGGAGCCAGAAAAATCAGGTTTGGATATATGACTTCCAAGGAAAAAAAAAATAAAACTAACTCTTACAGAGGTGCTAATTAGTGGTATATGGAACCTTGTCATTGTAGAGTTGTAGAAGATTCTTCCATTTTTTGTAATACAAGTGGGATGATTCTTTGAAATTCTTCATGTAAATATGGGTTTGAATTTAGCACTTTGTATAAATCATGTGTTTTTTTCATAACTATGTGCAATGTAATTAGGATGATGTAGGGGAATTTGGAAAGCCCCTTTTTTCTTAAAGAATGTTATCTGCCATGACTCAGTTGAAGTCCTTGGCATGCAACATTTGCTTAATACACCGAACTGTTGTAATGAAGTGAAGAATATTATGCCTTTTCAAACTGCAGAATAAACTTTCAACTTGAAAGATAGAGATAGTGGGTGGGATAGGAAGCTTTTTACTGTATGGGTATTTGATTGTGTTTATTTTTATTTTGTTTAGGAAAACTCTGGTGCGCAAAGAAAAACAAAAAGAAACGGAAAAAGGTTTTATACAATGCAAATAAAAATGATGGTAAGCAACATCTTTTTCACAGCATGTGCACTTCTAAGCAACTATAAAAGATTTGACAAATAGGCTTGTGAAACGAATGCTGAAATTCAGGATATGATGTTAGAAATACTGTCCGACAATGTTTTATTTGGGAGCAGTAGTATGGTTTGTAATAGCATTTAGTGAAAGATGTAAAAGAGGTATCAGAATTTGTAAGGTCGTTGAGTATCTTTAATAAAGACCATATGATAGGGGTAAAAAAAACAGGTTTTTAGGCATGGAAGCACTCATAATTTTAGAATAATGAACCAATTTATTACAGTTTTGTAACATACCTCACTTTGCATAGTTCAGTTTAGTAAATGCAAACACAGTTTGTAGGCTGTATTCTTACAAAAGTACTTTGGGATTGGGATGATGATTTTTGTTGTTGGGCATAAAATGTTATTCTTGTACTAGAAACTTGTTCTTAGAAAGAAAATTGTTTTGAGTTTATGCTACTACTTATATCAGTAGTAAGTGGAAACATATTTTACTTCCCCAGAAAGGGGGGGGAAAAAAGCCTCATCTTTGGGGTTCCATTGCTTTGGTAACTTGCAGTTAGATGCTGGCAGAGAGTCAGGAGATGCCTGAAAATTGATACCGCGTCACAGGCAATACATGCAACTAGCAGTAAAGTATGTTGTGACTATTTTATTGTTTCTCTCTCAAGATTATGACAATGAGGAAATTTTGACCTATGAGGAAATGTCACTGTATCATCAACCAGCAAATAGGAAACGGCCTATTGTTCTGATCGGCCCCCAAAACTGCGGCCAAAATGAATTGCGGCAGCGACTTATGAATAATGAAGTGGATCGCTTTGCTTCTGCCGTTCCCCGTAAGTTTAACAGACAAATATGATTGCTTGTTCTAAACATTTCTGCAGATGAATCTTCTTGTGTTGAAAATAACAATTAGGAGTTTAGGGGCTTTCAGCA